GGGGGGGGGGGCAGTCCTTTAACACTGCTGTGTTCTACCTTGTTTCCCTCGATACCATCAACGTAAATATTACTTTTGTAATTTGCAAAACATCAAATAAGGAAGAAAAAAACCTAAAACCACAGCTAGTTTTTTGGTTTTCAAAAAAAAGTCTAAAAATAGTTTTAAAATAGTTTTAAAAAAGCCTTTGCTCAGAAATACATAATGGACCCAGAATGGGGAAATTTAGGCTGTGTTTTTAAGTAGAGACCATGCAGGGAAAAAAATGAAACTCTCAAGAGTTATAGCCAATCTCTGCTTAACCGCTGTTCCAATCTCTTGTGTACACATTAGGGTAAGTGCCCTTAGTCCGATTCTGAACGACAAAGGATACGTGCGCTCACGGGCCTTTCTGAATTCGGAAGGACAAGGAGCCCCGGGGACGGCGACCCTGCAGCAAGGAGCTGCCGCAGTCCCCTTAGCTGCCACTAGATGGCAGCCTGTACAGAGCTGGGCGGGGGGCCGGGCGCTGTCCCCACTCACCTTCCCCTAAGCAAAGGGACAGATAAGGAAGCAAGGTGGTGCGTTGAATTTTGACATAAAGCACGCCGCTTCACCTCTGAAAATAATAATAGAAAGAAACAGAATCAAAGAACATTCTGAACACTGTCCTAGTCGCTGCGTGACATGGTGTGGGGGAGGCCATGGTGCAGACACGGGGCAGAGCAGGACCCAGGAGATGCCGTCAGGTGCACCTGCTGCAAGCCACTGAGGCCCATACCTGCGCGGGGCCTGGGCCAAGCCACGGGGCCTGGGCCAAGCCACGGGGCCTCCGTGAACACCGGCGTCCTGGTCCACGCCAGGGCAACGGGGCCCCACACCCTGCAGGCCTTCGCTTTGTCACTCCCCCGAACCAGCAATTCTAAACCTTTGAGGTCGGCGTGAAAACGTCACAGTAACAGATTTATGACATGTGTGTGTACCAGCATTTTACAATCACAACCGAGTGTCCACAAAGACAGCTTTTAAAATCAACCAGAAATAGTCACTTCTAAACAATTTCTGTTGAATTTTAGATTTATGGCAACGCTTCCTTTCAAAAACAGGTGATCCAAGTAGCACATTAAGTATTTTATTAATTCCAACCTTCTGACATTGTGTCTACACGAGCATGCTACTCAGCCTCACTTCAACATCGAGTCTGCTGAGGCCTACAGTTCCCAGGCTTCCCTATCATCAGCCGGCCTGCCCACCTGCCCAGAGACAACACGACACGTGAGCATGGCTGGACCCTAGCAGAGAGGCCAGGCACAAAGGATCTATTCCTCACGGTGTCCCCAGCCTCCTGCTGGGCAACCCCAGGCCCCAGATGCAAAATGGGACCAGAGGAGCTGTGTCTGCACACAGTCCCTCTCAACAAACAAACTGACAACAGCGAACATTGCTCAGAAAACACCCATTTTAAGGGCAATCTTCCTTCAGATATAAATAGTAGTCAAGTCTTCCATTGGTGTGGAAATTTCGGGTTTTCATCCAATAATACTGACGTTCTCCTGACTTACCCTTGGACTCCTGGAGTCATACCATGACCTGTGTTTCCACCTGCTGCCCCTGCCTCTTCATACAACAGAAAACATGGGTCACTACGGTCTTTTGTTTTTCTAGCTAAACGGGCTGGAGGTTCCAGTTTGTCAGTCGTGTTTTCTCTAAATACACACAGGAACATGAATCTGGGCTCCGCTCAGGACACCTCTGGTGGATGTGTCAGGAACACGGCAGCCTCTGCTGGATGCCTGGCAGGATTCTGGGGCCTGGATGACACAGGGGTGTGGGTGTCACCAGGCGAGGCCCTCTGCGCGACCACCAAACCTCCCGATTCCAACTCTCAGAGCTTCCTGCATCTCTCCCCGGGAGGCTGCATCATATGCGTGCCCGTTTGTTGCCTGCCTGTCTCCTCCGGCCTATGCATCCCATATCTTGCTCACCACTGCAGCCCCATGCCTAGAACATTCTAGATTCTCAGTAAACACTGACTGAAGGAAAGAACCCCAGAGCTTCCTCAAGGGGAAGAGCCCAGACTTGTTGGAGAAGAACTTCCAGCTTATCTGCAGAATGGGAACAATGTGACTGAGGTCCTGAGGTGGGGCAGGCATCTGCTGAGAGGACCGAGGGCTGGGGGAGGTCTTTGGATGCCGAGGCACCTTTACTGTCTTCAAGTGGGAGGAGCAACCACTTCCTCCATTCTGGTTACGTTTGCTCTTTAAGAGTGCCCCCCTCCGGGGGGGGGGCACGGGGCTTTCCTCCACACCCGGCCTTCCAGGGCTGGCCCTTGCCCGAGTCCTACTGCCTTCCCAGGGAGGCTCCTGTCCCCTGTCCACTCTCACACTCCCCTGGATCCACATTCCTGATGAATCAGCAGGCCACGGGTCACTCCCCAGGAGCCAGGGGAGCAGTGGCGGGAGCCGTCGATGCCCAGAGGGGGCGGGACGATGGCCAGTCCCACACAGCCCGCGAGATGCTGACCTTCGCTTGTGAAATGTGCCAACGGTAGGGCAGTCGGCTGACCTTCGTAAATGAGCAATTGTCTCAGAGAAGAGATAAAGATGGTTTATATGTTCGTAGTGAACTGAAAAATCAGCTTGGCCACACGCCTAATGGCGTCACTCACTCAGAGCTCTTCTGCCCACCTTCCCTTCAGAGCTCCATTGTGTTTCCTGTGCTGTAAACACAGAGAACTAAACGAGAAAGAGCTTTAGGATCAGAGGGGCCTGGCAGCCCCGGTACCTGCTGCTTTTTCCCCTGACGGTACCTGGAGAAGCCCCGAGGACGGGCACAGCTGGGGCCAGGCCTCTCCCGGCCGGCCCGCCTTGCTCACCAGGTCCCGGGGACACAGGCACGTTTCACGCCGCCTCTCTGGTTACGGTCACCCACGGAACCCGCTTTATGTGGGTACATTTTCCACAAATGTAGAAAGCACAGGACACCGAAATTTGTGTCTGATCTTGGCCACTTCAGTCTAAGCGACTAGATGAAGTCCCCTTATGCTGTGACCTTGTCCTAATGTCTGAAGAGACCCAAAGCAGTGAAATAATCATGGCATTCATGGCTCCGTGCTTCCCGGGAGCTGCACCAAGGAGCTGGACCCAGGAGGGCTCGTGCTCCTTCGCAGGGCAGGCCAGGGCTGCCTTCTGTCAACTGCAGATACTTCCCAAAACGTGACTGAGCGTGAGTGAGTATCATGCCTGAAGAAGACGATCTCCGTTAAATTTACCGTGGAAAACTTTTCTTCCCAGTAGCTCCAAGGCTCCCCATGGATGAGTGTAACATGCGGTGCTACCACAGAATATGAAGGACACCGCAAAAAGCAACTTGTCCGATTTAAAAACTGACGTTATGTGATATTGAACAATGAGTATCTTCCTATTCTTGCTGGGCTGGTCATCAGTGGAGCAATGAGCCCCTGGGCCCCGTGGGGCGCCTGCCACCACACCTTCCTGCACAGGCTGAGCGGTCAGGCCGTGGCTCGCCTAGTCTCCTCAGGGCTAGGCTCCAGGGGCTCTCATGGCCGTGAAGGTGGGTGGTGGGTGCGTGAAACATGGAGGAGGCAGGGACCGGTGCTGGTGTTTACAGAGCAGGCAGTCTTCATTTCCATAAAGAACTAGGCTCTCCTGTTTTAATACTGGGCCCCTTGGTCTGTCTTTTGTTTCCTCATCCTCCATGTGTAAATGGTGGCCAGGAACACTCCTCCCCATCAGGAAAACGCCAGTGCAGGCCCAGGGATGATGGCTCTGGCCGTGGCCTTGGAGTCAGGGACAACAGAGCACGGGGCAGTGTGGCTGCCCCACTCAGAGATACGGGCTCAGCTGCCAGGGATCTGCAGAAGCGGATCCGGTATCTGCATTTGCATGAAACATCAAGGCTCGAAAAAGACTACCTAATTTAAAAAAGGAGCAAATCACCAGCAACCAACAGGTGCATCTATACCAGCAGGAAACCTCAGCTTGACGGCCTCTTCTCTGATGCCGAGGAACACTCCCTAACTTCCAGGCGTCCGCACATCTAACCCTGGTGCTGTATCACTAAGTTGAGAACCACATTCGAGCTTCTCTGTAACTGGGGACTAGAGCAAGAGATCCATTTTGCCGGCTTGGCTTTCTCGTAGTTGGGGTTTATCAAGGAGGGCGCCACTGGCCTTTGACGTGGCGATCCTTAGCCGCACGGCGTGGGCATGCGTACCACACAGCCCCAGCGCCTGCCCACTGGACGTTGTGCCAGCCAGCCCAGGTGTTCCCCCGGCAACTGCCCTGCACAGCCTTGTCATTAAAAGAACATACGGCGCCCTCGCACAAAGCATCGGATGAAGAGAAACCGTCTGAAATTGCAAAGACCCTGGGACAAACACGGACCAAGGACACGGAAAGGGCAGGAACTAGCTGGTGAGGAACAGGAAGGCAGCTCTGTACTCTCCCCGATCCCGAGTAGTGGGAGAGCCAATGGGACAATGGCAGCATGGCCCTTCCTGGTGATTTTTTGTTCTAAAAACCGTCTGGGTCCATTAACAGATGACATTACAAACAAAGTTAAAAGCCAATCCTTCCAACTTTTAAGTCATAAAAACCCCCACACATCACGTACCCGGCTACATTCCTCCCACTGTACAAAGTGTCCCTCCTCCCAGGCAGCCCCACGCACTAACTTCTTACACGATCCTTTAGACATGTAGCAATGTGATTCTGCTATCACGGAATAGTAGTATTCTAAATTTGGAAGCATTTTTCCCAGTTGCGTTTCTGCTCAGACCTGGAGTAAGTCACAGAAAAGCCCTCCTACTTTACGCTGCGTTTGGGCCCTTTGGAGGCGGAGGGTTCCTTTTGCAGGACAGTGGAGTCAAGAGCATAAGGGGCAGGAGGGGGGAAGGAACAAAGCGGAAGGTAGCGGGGCAGGAGGCGCACTCACCACTGGGCTGGCCCGCGCCGAGCTGGCTCTGGACGAGGCTCGGGAGCTGGAGTTGAGGTGGCCGCTGTGCTCTGAGGGCTGCCCACACAGCCGCCGCCACGGGGACGCAGACAGAAACAAAGGGACAGGGTCAGCAGAGCTACAGTGAGCGCGGAGGTCAGCCGCACACCATGCAGAAAGGACAAGGGTGTGTGTGGAGAGCTGGCTCCCCTTGGAAAGGAAGGCTGTGTCGGCCACAGCTGCAAATACATGCCCACTAAGAACAGAAAAAAATTAGTCATAATATCAGAAGAACACAGGATTCTTGGTTAGTGAGAAGAAAGTGATACAAGGCATCCCGTTCAAGCCGGGCGTGGAGTCATGCCTGGTGCCGGCACAGAAAGCCCCCCTGGCCACGGGGAGATGACAGTTTCCGAGGCCCGGAGCGCCTGGTAGGGTGCTTGGCTTTTCAGCGGTGGGAAAGTTTGCTTCGTTGCTCTTTCCAGGGGAAAACAACGTAAGATCTAGGGCTCCTCCAAAGTCAGGCATGGCTTGTTTAAAGTGCCAGGTTACTGGTCGGGTTGCCTGAATGAAGGTTTTTTGTTTTGTTTTGTTTTTTAATCTGTCTCTCCACCTGCCTGAACATTCTCTCTTCTAGCAAAAGAAAACACCGGAACTCACTGACCTGGAAGCGATGCCCTCTTAACTTTGACTTCTATTTACCTTTGTTCCGGTCCTACATAGATTTTTGTGTGTTTTTGTTTTAATCTTCCTTTCCTCTTGAGTGAGGTGGGCGAGGAGGGGAGGCAGGATTCAAACCCGACTGAGGGCCACAGGCACCCAGTGGATTGTGGCGTGGCCTCAGGGGGATAGTCCCAGAGTAATAGCGGCCCCTCCCCAACCAGCACCCCCCCCCCCCCCCCCCCGCTGAACACCAGGCATCCTGCCAGGCAGGGGCTGACTGTTCTCTCTGCTGCCCACACCACCCCACTGGGCCCTGCAGGCATTCTCCCTACTGCAAATTCTAGCAGGCACCTAACTGCAGAGGTGCTCGTGACTCCCATCTTAAACATCACCTTTTAGTTTGCACATTTTTCCACCAGAACGTAATCCCCTGAGGGCAGGTCTGTGTCTATTCTCTGCTGAATCCGCAGGGACCAGATGAGGCCTGACACACAGTGTAACCTCAAGAAATACTTGTTGAATAAACAATTTCAATTTCAGACTATAAACAGCCAGACCCACCCTCTACCTATTCATCATTCTTCTCATTCCTTTATCCCATTACGATTTACTGCATAGTTAACACTTATATGCGACACATTGTTTCCGATGCACAGATAAAGACACCTGTGCACACGTCGTACAAGACAGTCATTGCCACACTTGGCACACATAAGAAATTTACCACTTTTACTACTCTCAGCTTTTGCTTTATTATGCAACATAAAAGGAAATACTTAAGGTTAGTACTTAAAAGAATTTTGCCTTTGGGTTCACTGACACAAGAGCTAGGAAAACTGTCCTCTGGAAAAATCCTACTGTGTTCTCTGTCATTCGCGTTCTGGTTAACCGTGCAGAGACAGGACAGGTTGCTGTTAACAGGGCTGACTGCTGGCCCAGGTGTTCCTTTTTTTTTGTTTTTTTGTTTTTGATTTTTTTAAAATTTTATTTTATTATGTTAAGTTAATCACCATACATTACATCATTAGTTTTTGATGTAGTGTTCCATGATTCACTGTTTAACACCCAGTGCTCCATCCAATACGTGCCCTCTTTAATACCCATCACCAGGCTAACCCATCCCCCACACCCCTCCCCTCTAGAACCCTCAGTTTGTTTCTCAAGAGTCCACAGTCTCTCATGGTTCATCTCCCCCTCCGACTTCCCCCTCTTCATTTTTCCCTTCCTACTTTTTTTTTTTTTTAACATGTAACGTATTATTTGTTTCAGAGGTACAAGTCTGTGATTCAACAGTCTCCCATAACTCACAGTGCTCACCACAGCCCAGGTGTTCCTACTTCCCTAGTCAAAACTGCTCTCAAATCAACTGACGGATCATGCGGGAAGGAATAAGTTTCGGGTCTGTATCACCCTGGTCCATGTGTCAACTTTGAACAGCTTGTGTTTGGAAGCCAGCATGGCTGGTGTGGGGCTGTCATATATTATAAAGACTCTGTCCAGGCTCCATCTCTTACGGGCCATGGGACTTGGGAAAAGTTTCTCAGCCTGTCACCTGGGACACAGAATTGTCAGGATGCTGGCCACACAGAGGTGCTGGGGGTTATGCAGAGAACCTGGGGGGGGGGCTCTCCCCTGCTTTCCTTTTCTGCCACAAGCAACTGGATCCGATGGCACCGGTAGTGACTGCTCCCCGGCGTGTCACACACAGCCACCATGCACACAGCTTAAGGACGGTGAGAAAGATATAAAATAGAAAGGTTTTCAAGCAAAATAGCGATACTTAAAAGAGAGCTCGTCATTTACTCTCTAATCGTTAAACTGTAACGAAGTCATTTAATTGTGAACATACACTGTAGATGACGCTACTTTCCAGGGGAGGCTAACAGAAGCTAGACGCTCTGGAGATGGGGATGAACCTTCCAAACCGGGATCAGGACCATCCCGTGCAGGCGTGGGGTCAGCCTGGACTCAAGCCGAAGCAGAGGGTCCTTCTCTTCAGCTCTGTCTTGGGCTGAAGGACATCAGCCGGGACCCCCGAGGGGGGGGTCAGCCTCCTCACTACGGGTATGCGTATCAGCCAGCGGTCACAGCTGCAGGCTGGACCAGAGCCTGAGGAAGCTCTCACCCCAGCCACATTGCCAAACGTGGGACACTGGCATCCACCGGGAGGGCAATGTCGGGGCTTGGGGAGACACCGAGGATGGAGCTCAGTGAACGAACGCCCCTCCCATCCAGCCTGCTAATTTGCTGCCAAAGATCTCTTCTGAGGGATTTTACCCCAGGGTTCCATTTGTCCAACTTAATTCAACAAAATGCCTGCTGAGCTCTTTCTGCATGGGAGCGCAGTGTTAAGTGCAGGAAAAAACTTTTTACTCTTTGACTTCTTCTGCATGGCTTGATGCCAGGGACATGTGGCCGTATTTTAGACATTTGTGCTGTTGGGACAAGAAGACGTTTGACTTCCTGAAGTTCCCGAACGCCACCACTCCTAGGTGGTTCCTACAGGAGGCAGAAAGCACAGAAGTAAGAGTGCTCAGCGATGCTTGAGAAGAATCGGGGGCTCGGCTGCTCTGAAAGTCCACCTGCAGAGGCAAAGTGGAACTGAAGGAGAACAGGCACCCCACCTGCTCGGAAGCTCTACTTCAGTCTTAGGAAAGTACCCAGTGCTTGGGGAAAGTTTCATTCTCTTGAAAAATTACTATGCGGTCTTTTTTTCTGATAAGAGAAAAATCCTTTAGTTGCATTTTATCTGTCACACGCAGGCCAGAGCTATTTCTCCAGTAGGCATGATTTGTGAGCTTCTTAACGGCCTACACAAATGTTTAAGAACTGAGAAAAAGATATAATATAGTGGGCTCCGCCACGTTTCAAACGGTATGCAATATAAAATTAATAAATGTTTAATTAGACGTCAACAGAAACTAATGCTACGTACAATATTTATAAAATTTACATTCTAAAGAAAACAGTAGGTGTGGCAGCTCTGTAAGAATTCCTGAATATTTATGAACTACAATAAGCCAGAAATGGGATTATTTAACTAATTTAGTAGTCAATTAACATCAAAAGCAACATTATAAAAAGCACGTTCGAGTAGTTCTTTGTAACCCCTGTGGGCCCCGGGTGGTGTGCCTGCACGGGACTTGCACAGGACCTGCGGAGAGCTGCCCCTGGGGAGGAGGAACCCCCGCGGAGAGCAGCCCCCGCGGGGGAGGAGCCCCCTCAGAGAGCAGCCCCTGCATGCAGAAGCATCCACACCAGATGGGTGTTCAGTTTCACCTGCCCCTCAGGACAGAGCCAACCAGCCTCCTCACTTCCATGGACTGACTCCATTTTTCTATTTTGCTTCCCTCTTTCATTCACTCATTTTTTTCACTCAACAAGCATCTCTTGTACCACACTTTTATCGTGAGAGCCGAGTCTGTTATTTCAAATCCTTAGAGGAGGTGGAAAGACAGCAAAATAAAAGGGAATTATGTACGGGTAAGATCCTGAGTCTTTAAATTTGTTCCTGTTCCTCGATTATCCAGAGGCGACAATAACTGTGGCCCGTGGAACGCCCCTCTCTTTCCTATTGTTACTTTAAGCGCACCTCACCCCGTGTTAGTACTGTTAGTGTGTTGCAGGGAAAGGGCCCAGGAACCTCAACTAAGGTCCGTCTTCTCCCTTGAACTCAATGTAAATTGATGTGTGAAGACATCAGCCCACCAGCCAGAGGCATCCGTGACCCTCGTGACCCTCGCTACAACAGAAAGTTGAGATGAGACAGTGTTTCCTCCCTAGAACCCCGGTTAGTTCTCTCCAGTGGCTGGACCTGTGCCCAGCAAGCCACTCAGGGGCATGCAGCACACGGGAAGAAATTCGGGAACCAGAGAAAATGCCTTACAGCATAGAAACTGCAGGCACTGCTCCGCAGAGCCCCGCCGAGCAGGCTGCTCTCATCAAACACAGACACCTGTGACGAAAAACAGACGGGCAGGTCAGGGCACCCTTCCCCCTCCTCAGTACCCACGACACAGGAAAAGGCAAGCAAAAGAAGGCTGACCCGTGAGGAGAACTGTCCTGCACAAATGAGACATGCAGGGAAGGCCTTCAACCGCCTTCACAGGCAAAGAGCTGAGCAGAACAGGCACATGCAAAAATCTAAGAGAGAAACCAGTTGCTGTCAACCGGCATGCAGTGTACTCTCCGCTAGGTCCTTAAAACGTATTATTCTGAAAAACATCCCTTGCTGAGTAGGAACTTGTTAATCCAGACTTCGAGGGAGCAGATATTTCAAATATCCTGAATTTTGTCATGGCATCCTCATACTTGGTATTTAGAAAATGACACTAAATAGAAAATGACTCTGGAATAAAACAGCATGTTCATATAGTTCAGTATTTTATAATTTTTAAAAGATTGCTAACTACAAA